TCAGCAGATCAGGTGACTCACCAGAGTTGCAGGGCCCAGAGAGGTTCCATCATTCTCTGCATCCTAGCTGACCTTAGAGGGGCAAGGGCCAAAATATTGGCTGTTTTTGTCTTGGCCCTTTTACTTCCTTGACTTTGGTCTTCAAGTTTTTGGTTTTAAACATCCAAAAAGCCAGTTTCACCAGTCTTAAAGAGGGAGTAACAGGTTATAAGTTCAATATCTATAATTTTACATAGACTTCTTTCATTTAATTAGGGTATTAGTACTGGAAGTCATCATTATATACTATCTGTCCTGATGGTTTATCATCTCAAATTAACTCAGGTTTTTTAATTTTTTTTTTTTTTTAGAAGCAGTACCTCTGCAAAACACTAACAGGCAACAGTTATAAAGTTTACAAGGAAAATACAAAGTGAAATTAACAAAGAAAAAAACATATTCAGTTTGTGTAGAGCTATGAACCAAGAAAAGACTTTTATGATCTTGAACCTTTACTTAGTTATATATTATATCCCCTGTTTGAGATCACAGTAATCTTTACAATAAAATTCAATCTTTTGAACACAACTTTAAATGAGCTGAAATCTAGCCTATTTTGGAGCCATTCTAACATGGACTAAGGTGGGAGGCAGAGCCTTATCTCAGGTAAGGCAGAGCTCTTCACAAATAACACAATACTACATTACATCTGAAACATGAATCAAAGAAATGCTGAGAGAGTTTTTAACTTTCTTTTTGTGGAAAAAATGGCAGAATGCTTCCATGTTTTACAGTGTCACTTTTAAACAGATCAGGATCTCCTTGTTACCTTCCAAAAATGTATTTAAATTCCAATTTCAGTGTGAAGAGTAACACAAAATTTTATATATATAAAACTTATTGACAATAGGTTATTTTATCCAGCTATAGAACATCAAATGACATGAATAAATACCAACCAAATCCAAGACTTTTGGATACAAATCCAAGATTTTGCTGCAGATTATTTTAGTTTGGATAACACCAAATTGGCAAAGTGCTCTCCTAAGCTTTACATTTAACCAAATTTAAAGTACAACTTAGAATCCAGAGTGGACAGTAACAATAATTACAGTCTGCATGGGTTAACAAAAATCAAAAGATAGTTTTAAATCTCTTATACATTTAGGAAATAGTGTTAATGAATCAGAAACTGACTTGGTTGAAGCAAACAGTTATAAGACCGGTCTTCAAATGACAGTGTGGCCATTCTATGTCAAACACAATGTATAAAAGAGAGCACTTATTGGTTATCTTGCCTGTAAACTTATATAAACTTTCATTTTATAAACTTTTACATTACACTCAGACAGATATAGTTCTCAGATGCATACATATACCTAGTAATGTTTTGAGTGTCAACAATAGTGTCATAATCTAAATAATAGTTTTTTGTTAAACCAGTTACAAAGTAATCATTTAAGAATTTAAAATAGGTACAGACCCTAATTCCTTTAAGGCTTAATTTCTCCAAGTAATAAAACCTAACAAATGCAAGAAAATTATCTCAATAGATAAGAACAAATCAATGTTTCAGATTTTGCTTCATATCATTACATTAAAGTTTAAATAACTTTGTATTAATTATAGCCAATTGAACACAAACATAAACATTATAAGATTTACCTTTTGCAAATCTTCTTCGACTTACTAAAACATTCACCACTACTTTATATCTTTAGTTTTTCTTTCATGTTGGACTTCAGCACAAAATATATTACTTTACTTATCAGACAAAATACTTTCTCATCCAGAAACATTTCTTTTACCTTCTAATTTTCCATACCTATAACTCTCTTTTCTCTTTTCTAGTTTTGGACCCATTCTGAAATGAACTATTTTAGTCAGTTTTTTGTTGCTGTGACTAAAAGATCTGACCAAAACAATTGTAGAGGAGGAAAAGTTTATTTGAGGGCTCATAGTTTCAGAGGTCTTAGTCCATAGAAGGCTGGCTCCATTCTTTGGAGCTTGAGGTGAGGCAGGACAACATGGAAGAAATGTGTGGCAGAGGGAAGCAGCTCACATTGTGATCAGAAAGTAGAGAAGGAGACTCTACTTGGCAGACAGAAATATATACCCAAAGCCCACTCCTCAATTCCCACCTCCTCCAGCCACACCCCACCACTGCAGTTACCACTCAGTTAATCCCTATCAGGGGATTAATTCACTGATTGAGTTAAGACTCTTACAAACCAATCATTTCTGAACCTTGTTACATTGTCTAACACTTGAGCTTTTGGGGGGATACCACATCTAAACCATAACACATACCTTATGAATGTTATCTGTGTATTTAATTTATACAACAAATTTTATCCTGGGAGGAGGTGGACAGTCCAGTGTATACTAAAAAAAAAAAAAAAAAAAACAGGCTTAATCTTTTTCCTCATAGGTTGTATTTAAAAGGTTGGAACACAGGATTCTTTTGAGCCTGACCTGTTTCTGTTATCATTATCACAGTGTCATCAACTTTTAGTGAGTTCACCACTGTCAGTTGTACCCAGAGGATCCTTTGGGACATTTTTGCTGCACTAGGCATATTGATATACAATGCATCCTTTTCTTTAGTCTTCCTTGAAGATCTCTTTGCAGAGGATGCCTTCAAAACACAGGTTGGCCTTCGTTTATGTCTTTTTCTTATCTGGGTGCAGTTATTTATTCTGCCAGTCTCCCCAGCCATTTTAGTTTGATGGGCTACTATTATAGCAAGAATTGCTCTGCCCCAGTGATGAATATCCCCTGTCCAAATGGGGTGTTCTGTTAGATTTTAAAAGAGGAGACTAGTCCTGTCCCTAGGTCATAAACTGACAGTGCTGGAATCTACTGCACATTTTTTGTGGCCAGCAGCCTTCACCTCCCATGGGCAAAATAGGGCTGAAAGGAAGGGCAGTTTCTCTTTGGACTTTTTTCTATAGCTCAGGCAGATTTTATGGGATTTTTTTACCCAGATTAGGGCTAGTGTCCTTGACCACATGAGATGATCTATGCCTGAAAAACAGTGTGGGGAGTGCCAGCACTGGGTGTCAAAGATTTAAATCTTTTTAAAACCCTTTTTCTGGTATCTTGCTCTCCTTGCACACTAGAAGCAGTGCCTTTGGGCACCTTCAACTTAGTTCCTGATGGTTCAGATCCCTATCATGCAACTGCATAAATGCCTGTATATACAGAATCTCTTTCATATACTTTATCCCTGACAGACAAACTACAAAGTCAAGATTGTATAATAATCCAGAAAAACCATTAAAGGGCCAGTAAACTGTCTTTCTCTTAGTCTTACACCTATAGGTGTCCCATTCAGTCAAGATCTCTCTACTCAAGAGACTACAGGTAAGATCAATGCAGCATGGCTCTTGTCTTAAAGGGCCAGTAATAGACCAAAAAATCAGACAGAAAAAAGGATCACCGAAACCAGGGCTGTCAGAATGGAACCTTTAAAATAGACAGACCCACACATACAAATTTCTTCCACTTACTTTACTTTTGACAGACCAACTTCAACTGCAAGATTGTATAATAATCCAGAAAGCTATTCAAAAGCCAGATCATTACAATAAAACATTATCATAGACTTATACCACTATCAGTCCTTTCTTCAACTCACTTTACCTCTGACAGACCAACTCCAGTTGCAAGATTGTACAATAAAGAAACACAGAGAGGAGCCCCAAAACCATGGCCGATAGATGGGAACCTTGAAATTGACCAGCCAAGATCTTTTCCAAGAGATTACCCGTAGAATCAATGTAGTACTGGCCAAGTCTTAAAAGAGGCAGTAGCAGATTCAAATAAAACAGATAAGCGGAGGGAATTCTCAATCCTAAGGCCAAGAAACAGATGAGAACCTAGAACAGATCAGAAGGGAGTACATATCCCTAGGTTCTAGAGTCCATTTTAACTGTGACTCCTATATCAGTGGCACCATAAATGTCCCCAGAAGGAGGGACCAGATGTTCCCACAAAAAAATGAACCAAGTATATAAAATCAAGGGGCTCAGCATGCACAGCTGAAGACTTACCAAATGGCCAAAGTTGTTGACACTATCCTGAGTTCAGTTTCCTTCTTCTCAAAGTAGACCATGATGGAGCAACCTGTACTGTTTAGGGAGAGGAGATGGGAATTGCCTGAAGCAAAAGGAGCTTTAGCAGCTGGTGGGACATTCCTCTGGTCCCTCCCTTTACTCACAGGAATGGCTCCTCTGTTCAAACTCACAGGTCTCCTAACTCCTGAAGTTGACTCTCAACAAGTTCACCAACACCATGACTCCTCAGCATGGAAGTGTTGGGTTCCTTGGAGAAGCAGGCCTGACCAAGAAAGCTGGAATGGTAGCTGCTCTCAGGTCCCATCTGGGTGGCCAAATTTGTTGCTAAAAGCTCAGTCCTTGTCCCTGATGCCAATCTGAAATAAGGACATGGTTTTGAGAAAAAGGAAATAGAAGGTTTATTGCTTTGCCAGCAAAGGTGAAACACAGGGGACTCCTGTCCCTATGTCTGTGATTTTGCCCATCAGCAAGAACGGGGGGATTTTAAAGAGGTGATTCAAAGGCTAAAGAGTCAATGAGATCAATCATATAGTGGAAGCACTGAGCTTAGCTAGAAGCAAAGGCAGTTATTTCATGGTATAGGAAAAAAGGTAACACAGAATCTGGTGGGCATTGTGTAAAGGTTTTGTGTGTCTGTATATGTGTGTGTGTGTATGGTTTTTTTGTTGTTGTTGTTGTTTTGCTTCAGTTTTCTCACTGAAATAAGAAGCAAGGACATCTGGAGGATGAGAATTGGAAGATTCTGGAAATTTGGAGAGAGTATAAAGGGAAATCTGGATGATACTTGGGTTGTATTACGTTCTCACATGTATTTAATTTAGCCAGATCAAACAACCAACATGGTGCATGATTTTCCTCTGGCGGCTTGTAACTGCCCTGTTGCAGACAGATAGCTGGAAACAAAAGGAATTAACAAGTAATATCCCGCTTCTCATTTCTCAGGTGGTTAAATGGTTTTAATTGGGAAGGACTGAAAGCACGGAATCTCCCATCACCCTTACGAAGAGAGGTATGGTGTTTACTATATTACTTATTTTTTTCCTGAGGATTTATTTTTGTAAACAGATTTTAGGGGTGGGTGTGCATAGGCATGCACACACATGCGCACAGATACATAACAGTTTAGGTGGTTTTTGACAGTAATTTTGATCAGAGGGACTAACTACTGTTTCCTATTTGACCAGCATTAGCTGTCCTCTCAGGAACTGTTTACATGTCAGTGCCACCCAAGTCCCAAGGTACTCGATGTTCATCAGGCTAACAGATGGAATATCATTTCTGTAATAGTTACCTTTAAAATTTTGTATTGTATTTATATCATCTGGTGCTGCTGCATGCCATTAAAAATGTAATTATAACGGAATCCAGAAGAAGAATTTGTGCTATCACAGAAATTTCTGTTGTCACAGAAATTTTAAAAATATGTTAAAATTCAAAGCACTTAATTATAAAGAAAGATAAATAATAAAGTTTAACAGCAAAAAAAAACATTTTATATTAAGATGAATTTTATAGGAAAATGGAAATGGAGGGAGAAAAGTGATGTAATATTTCTGACTTTTAAAATTGGTTTATCAAACTTCAGTGATCACTAAAGTACAGTAGACTTGTTTAAAGGAGTAAAGTAACAATAACATTTTATCTGGAAATGACAATATTTACAACATACTAGAAATTGCATTCTCCACAACTATGAAAACTTACATGACAATTTAGTAATCAGTCTGCAAATGTGCAAAGAGAAATAGCCTTTCGCAATTGTTTCAGAGACAACACTAGCAAAATGATAACAGGGCATTAACCTGGGAAAGTCTTTCTTCCACCCAAGTCAGCTTATGTTCTGCTTCCTCTAGGACTACACTGTCCAAACTGCGTACTACTAGCCAATGAATGATCCCCCCACCTGGCCCCCAAGCTCCAACACATTATGATGATCATTAACTATAATTTTAATGATATTTTAATCTGATTCATCAGTTGGGCACTGTATAATTTGTCTGAAAGAAAAGAATTAGAAACTACCTGATTTGCAAACTAATTTAGTGCCAGAGACATTTTATTCTTTCAACAGGATCACTAATATTTTGAATTGTCCCTTTGGCATCATGGATACCTGATAGGGATGAATTAACCATATGAAAATTCAAGATTGGCAAAAAAACTTAAGTAGAAGAAAGACTCTGACAAACTTTGACTTTTACATATTTGCTTTTAAAATATTTTTCAATTTGATAAAATCATAGGTATTATTTCTGTTACTTTTTCTTTAGAAAGTAATTCCTCATGCCAGGTAGCAACTAATGAATATAAGCCACTGACCACCGATCATTTGCTTCTTAAGAAAAAAATCTCAGTAAGCTGAGACTGTGACTCAATGATGATATTTGGCCCATATTTTCTTAACGTGTTCTTTACAAGTGGTTGTGGCATTGAATTAGTGTTCAGGTAGAAAAAAGATCACCTGGGTGCAATAGCATGCTTAATCAACATTATTATTCTCACCTTTGTCGTAAAACTTTCTATATTAGCTCAGTGGACCTATAGATCACAGCTACTTTGACAAGTATCCTCCTGAAAAGGGAGTGCCTCCAGATGAGCTGTCCGGCTGGGATAAGGACTTCTAACAGAAGACAAGATGATTATTGCCTATACGGAAGAGGACAATAAGGATCAAAAATCTGACACTGATTATTTCTCTCTTCAAAGTATTACAATATCTTTTGGAAGACCATTAGGGAAAAGAAATCCCTGTGCAGGAGGTGGAGGAGAGTGGTATGGATGTGGTTCTGAATGATAATGTCTCATTTAGATGCTGTGAATTATTCATGTATTCCATTCTATGCTTGTGTCAAATGTTGAAGGCCATCCCCTGCCCCTTTTCCACAATCAAACCATTTTTGTTGAAGTAGCATAGTTTTCTCTGAAATCTACTGCTCCTTCCCAGTCATACTCTTCTCTTTTGAGTCATAATAAGGGCTTAACAAGGGCCTTGCCCTTGAGCAACTAAGTTCTGCAAGTAAGAGGAAGAATCTGAGTAAATTTTGGAAGATTTCCCCAGCTCTCAAAAGGTGTTATGTTATGTTATGTTTAAGCTCACTTAAAAGGTGTTATGTAGAAATCTTGGTAATCGATAGTTCTTGACTTCTTTCAGCTTAGAAATACACAAATATGCTTCTGAAACTAGTCTGGAAACTGTGAGTGTGAGTATTAGAGAGTGATACTCCATAAAGTAAATAAGTCAATTTATCCATTATATTCTATTGAGAAACTTAGAAAAATTAAACAAAGCAAAACTATTTTTCTTTCTCCTGTGACCAGCTATGAATGATACCTCAGAGATTTTCAAAAACTCTGCTAAAAGTGGTTATAATTTATGGTTAAATGAGGACCTTTAGAAAGGTTTTATCTGCTAAAATGTTTTCACTACCAAAGTAGAAAATATATTAAAATGAAATCATGAAAGCTTTTCCTCCCTGTTAGAGATAAAGGAGAATAAATTCCAATAGGTAAAGTTATGGACTCTTTGAAACTCTGAGCTATTTTGGTCAATTCTGTCAGTATTGCTATTAATAAACCAAAAAGGGATAGAGTGGCTACCATTAATTTTTAATGAGAAACCTATTAGCAAATGTTGATGCTTTGCAATCTCTGAGGAGTTAATGACTCTTTTTAAAGACATTTGAGTCCTGGATGTGTTTATAATTACATGCCATTGAAGAAGTCATAGGATTTTAGAAGTAAAAGAATACCTACTACTGGTTGCAGTGGCTCCTGCCTGTAACACCAGTGACTTGTGAGGCTGAGGCAGGAGGATTGCAAGTTTGAGGCCAGTCTCAACAACTTAGCAAGACCCTGTCTCCACCAATTAAAAAAAAATGTGCCTCAAAATAAAATAAAAATGAACCTAGGGATGTAGCTCAGTGGTAGAGTAACCCTGTGTTGTATCCCCAGTACTGCAAAAACAAAGCAAAATGAAATGAAAGAACACCTAACATCTGGCCTCTTCCTGCCTCCTCCTGGAAATCTTCCAAATAATGATTAGAATATTTTCAATAATGTTGGATACTAGTATCTAAGAACATCACTAGTAAGTGAATGTTTATAGGGATTGACCATGATAACTTTATTTCCACTTTTTAAAATGGATGGGAAGCAGAGCTTTCTCTGTAGTTTTTTTTTTCTTTCAGTCTGACAGAGTGCAAATGATATCCAAATTCCAGCATTATTCAAGTTTCTGGTTATATTTTTATATTATAATAGTCTATGTGAAACACAACCTCCACCTGTTCTGCACACCTGTTTCATCATCCAGAGAAAGTCAGTTATATGCTTCCTGAAGACTTTAACCTGATAAGTGAGGCCCAATCCAAGAAAGTGCATCCTTAACAAATCAGATTTCCACACTTACAGTCCTTTTGCTGAACCAAAGAGTTTTTGTTTCCTGGAGTAGTATTTTTAAAGATTATGTATTGTACATAGAAAAACCATTTTTAATAGGATTAACATAACCTGCTTAAAGAATTTCTAAAGTTTTTAAAATATTTTTATTTGCATTTGGTTTGTATGTACTATATGTTTTTCCATGTATATATTTTAAAATTACCAACATATACAGGTAGAAAATTTATGTATTGGATGGATATTAAAACTGTACAGTTATAATAGCAATGATATTCTCAAAAGGAGATCAAATGATTGTAACTTAAAAAAACCCTACGTATATAGAGAGATAAAAACCTGTAAGACTACTACAGGTTTATTTTTCCTGTGATTGGTCATATCATATGTAATTCCCTAATGTGATTTTATTGTGTTTTCTTTAGAGTACTTTATAAAGATGAGGATGTAAGAGATTGAACCATCCTATAATTCCAACTCCACTATTTCCTAGCTGGGTGACCTTGGGGAAATGATTTACTTTTTTGAGTACTAGCTTTCTCACTTGTAGAAAAAAGGCAAAGTAATATTTACTCTAGAAGCTTGCTTTGGGGATTATAAAAAGGTATGTAGAGAGTCCTTTGCCAGGTATCTGTGAAATAATCAATGTTGCATTGATGGGAGCTATGGTTACTATCTCTGTGAAAATTAAAGGGGCCTTAATAACCAGTTAGTCCTGAACCTTGTGCATCATTGATGTCTGTATGCAAAATTGTACTGATTAAATCCCATATCTGTCCTTGCTTTTTCTTTGAAGTAAAGATGGTTATCAAACCTTAGTCTATAAAATGAAGGCTTAATCCTCACCAAAATGAAATGCTTTGTTAAGCTGACCTAAATTTTAATTTTTATAAATTAAAGACACATACACACACAGGGAAATACAGAAACTTATCTTCATATATAAACTCATCATATTTCTAACCACTAAATCATTCCTTATCTCTCTTTTCTAGGGTGTAAGGTTAACTTTTCATTCTGACACTTCTTCAATGGGAGCAACTTTTCATAATTGAAGTTTCTTAATCTTTTCTCTAGACATTAAAATGTCTGGGAGGAAGAGAATATCGTAATGAAAATAAAACTTAGAGTAAAAAAAAAAATCTAGGTTTGAATTCCAGCTCTGCCCAGATTTGCATGACTTTGAACAATAAACCACATCTTTATTCATATAAAATTTGGAAATATACTTTTAAAATTTTGGAACATTGGACCAGAAGATTATTACTAGCAGATCACTGATAGTTATCATTTAGAAGTGTATCTACACATGTATTTCTTTTGGCACAAGAATAAATACTTTCTATTACTAGGCATGGTAATAGGAGCAATTACATTCATTATCTCATTTACATAAGATCCAAAAAAATTACAAACACACTGCCTATTGACTGCTCCAAAGCTAAATTTTGGCCTCAGATTCATTTCATTCACAGTTTAGCTGTGATGTTTTTGCTTGGCTTAGTCCCAGATACTATGACTACACCTCAAACAATCCCAACACTTAGTTTTCATTTTCCTAAATTGTTTGGGTCAGGATTTGGACAGAAAAAAAGCAAGGATGGTTTGTCACACTGTACCACAATACCTGGGGTATCACATTGAAAGACGGAAAAGCAGGGAGGGAATGTGATTCAAAGACTGGGAGCTAGAACAATCCAAAGGCATGTTCGGGTATATAGTTAGTACCTGGACTGGGATTGCTCAATGACTAGGATTGTAACCTGGTTGCCATCACATGTCCTCTCCATAGCTTGGACTTCACATCATGGCCTCCTTAGAATAGTCAGACTCCTTTTGTGGCAGCATGGGGCTCCAAGAGCAAGTGTTCTAACCAACAAAGCAGAAGTAGTATCCCATAGGAATTATCCTTTGTCATCTAAAGGTCACATAACATCACTTCTCCCTTGCTCTATGGGGGGAAACATAAATCAACCCAGATTACAGAGGAGGGAACATAGACTGGACTTCTTAGTGAAGAGTATGTCAAAGAACTTGCAAGCAAGTGTTAAAACTGCCACAGTCCACTTTCTTAGCCACACATTGTTTACATTCCTATGATCTTCAAAACAAATTTCATTTCATCCCAAGGGTCTCCATAAAAGCATCCATCCAATTCATATGTGAATGATGCTCCTTGGGTATCATTCCTTGGATATATCCCTTTAGGTCTGAAAACCTATTAAATAAGTAAGCAACTCAACTGCCCCACCACTCCCAAGATTGGTGAAAGGAGTAAGGGATAATTACAACAGATAACTTGCATTCAGAGCCTGGTAAAGGGAGGCACAAAGCAGCCACTAATCTGTCATAATTCTGAAATCTGGCCTGACACATGTTACCATTTCTCTGTTTGAGGCAAATTCCTGCCCACTGTGGATTGTTCTCACAGCTCTGGCTCCATCACCCAGAGTCTTGATTCCTCCTTCTGAACTGTTCTTTCTTTTCCATAAGATATAGCCAGTATTTGCAACAGAGTAGACTTCCTAGTCATTCGCCTGCCTATAAAAATTGGATGATAGAAATGCTTCTTTCAAGTTTGCCTGTCCCTGTGTCTCTATTCCACACCAATTCATTTTCTTTAAAAAATTTTGTGAGTTTCCCATGAATTAATTCCTAATCTACTCCATTAGTTATAAGTCACAGACACAAATCTTTTCCATTAAAAATACTGTGAGAAAATTCTAAGATTCTTAGAAGTTCTATTAATTTTTTTAAAGAGAAGGTCTGCATAGCACTTACTTAAGCTTCAAAGATCTGTTTGGGAAGATGTGGTAGACAGCTTCAAAGCTGACATCTAATGATCCCTGCTTATGGTATGCATGCCCTTTATAGTCTCCCTCCCTTGAGTGATAGCTGAATCTCATGACTTTCTTCCAACAATAAGAATACAACAAAAGTGGTGGGCTGTCACTTCCCAAAATAGGTTACAAAGTCACTGTTTCTGTCCTTCCTACTAAGTTGTTAAGGAAAGAAGAACATAAAGTTTGGGGAAACAAGAACAAAGTAGACATACGAGAAAGATTGTATTCTTAAGGCAACACTGGTCTATGGGGAGAGATCAGAACCTATCAGTTCAAACTGGAATATCATTTGTCTTTCAGGTTTGCCAACATTAATCATATAGGTGACCTGCAAGATAAGCTGGTGTACCTTCATGTATGCCTGATTTAGGATTTGAAGATGCTAAAGGAGCAATTTGGCTGGAACTAGAAGAGTCATAGGTCTGGCTGTTGCTCTCCACCAACAAGGGGAACCCCTCAGATCAGCAACAAATACTGCTACTTTTGCAGGGTACAGGGGTGCATACCTGAAATCCCAGGGACTCTACCCCAGAAGTTGAGGCAGGAAGATGACAAATTGGAGGTCAGCTTCAGCAACTTAGCAAGACCCTGCCTCAAAATAAAACATAATATTAACAAAAAAGGGCTGGGGATGTAGCACAGTGGTAGTACACCCCAGTAT